TTTGCCATAAACGTCACCTCGGCAGTGGACAGCAACTTTGAGTACCCTCGAAGTAATCTCTCCGGTGGACCTCTGGACTGTCCACACAGTACACCTCGTAAGGCACGCAATTCGGTTCAAATAACTGACAACAGGTAACTAAACTGCTACACCGACAAGAAGCATCCTACTAACCTGTTTCTTTTCTTTTCTTCTTTTTGCTTACACTTTCAGATTACAAGAACAAAAGAATTAAAAACAGAAATTTCCGAACATCAGACTTTACCGTATAGATCAAGAAACAGGCAACACTACAAGCCAACGAGCTTTCTCCGCCTGTAAACTGGACATTGGACATTGAACTGGACTGACCTGACCTAACTGAAGCGCCTTTTACGAAAATGGCGGTACTGTTTTTGTGACACGGATGCAAACCGCCGTAGATGAAAGGATGGCGCATTGGAACCAGTCGAATACGTTTTCTGGACTTACGATGAACATAAATAGAGCTGTCCTTCCCACCGTTCCTTGCCTTATCCCCCAGCCAAAGCAAAGTGAAGAAGTTGCTTCTTTCGTTGGTCAAGAACCCGAGAATCAGTTAAAGCCTTTAGCACCTCAAGAAGTTCAACCACCCGCCCTGTTGTCACCAGATGTTGGCTGCGGAGTTTCTACTTCACATCAAGGACTTCCTTTTGAAGCTCCGTTACCACCTTTGAGAAGCGCTATTACGGCAGTGAGTTCTGCTCCCAAGCATGCTAAACATGCGCATGTTTACCCAACAATAGCACCTTACAATATATATATATGTATATAAATGAATGTTGCACAATTTATGCTAAAAGTTATAGACTAATCTCAGACCGGAGGCAGTATACCAGCTGCCATCCTCCTAGGAGGATGTCTTGAAGTGACTCGGGTTCGAGGCTGGCGCCCACTGGTCCCAGATACTAGATCCACTGACAGAATTTCCCACAGGTGAGGATATCTTGCAGATAGTTCAGCATAGAGTTACGGACTCCAGTGTTGGAAAACTTCACCGGTCCGCGGCAACACATGAAACTGGATGCGTGAGTGCTCAGAGCCATAGTTCATCATGTGAGCACTGAAACCTAACTGAACCTTGTCGAAGGCCTTGCTAAAGACCACGAAGTTGACGTCCATTGCGTATCCCCTGGCGTTGTCCTCAATCCATCATTTCCGGGCCTTGGTCCTGCAGAAGCTAGCTCGGATATGTGATCCGGATCAAAGCTGTTGTTGAGTGCACAGATGGCCATGGGACTAAATGCTGCTGAAGCCTTAGGACCACTAGTCGTTCCACCTACTGGAGATCGGAGCATAAAGTACTTCCAAGTTCAATTCCGTTTCTGCGGTATGAAATAATATATGAATTATATATATATATATATATACATATATATATATATATAATGTCTGCTAACATCGCAGAGATGCAAAGTAAAGTGACACTACGCATAAGGTGGTGCTTTCGTTCCTTTTTGCTTACTTCATACCGTAAAGGGGAGCCAGTTTATAAATACATCGGTTTCCAAAGTAAACTCTAGAACAAAGTTGAGAGAATTTCGGCTTCAACCCTTCCTTGTTTGTTCCATGTTCGTGTATCCACTAATAAGAAAAGCTACTCCAGCGTACTCAGCCTTCAGAGGGTAATTTTCCCGTAATATATCAAGGAAAAAGGTTTTGTTATTTCTATTTTCCCAGGGCTCCACTGGAAAGACTTCGAAAGTCGGTCTTCGCTCTAGGTATGTCCTGCCACCGGACGTTCAAACGAGTTGTCAGAATTCAGCAAACCTATTGCCTCAGACTGTTCCAGTCGAAAAACAGAATTTACCTTCAATCAGTTCTGAAGTGTTCCAACCGAAAAGTTCAAGTTTTTCGACACTTCCGATCGATCCGACTGGATCATCTGTTTCCAGTACTCCGGTAGAACTGTCATCTACCTCAGCATCCTCTTTTGCTCACCGTGAGTTTAGTTTGTTTTTCAATTTGATTGTTCGTTGTTTTTATCTAATCGGCTGTTTTTATTTTGACCTCTTTCTAACACAGAGCTACGTAGCAGTATTCCAGGTAATTTGCATGCTTTTTTGGATATAGGGTAAATACTAATTCCGCTTTTACCATCATTCATTGCCTCCCACAACACAAATCCGGCTGTAAGAAATAAACCGCTAGAAACAGCCGAGGCAATTGTCTTCCGCTTGTTGAAGCCAGAATTGTGTGCTCAAAAAACTCTTGTTCATATAAACTTCCTTGGCCCAAAGCGGACAACATCACGCATGAGCGTTGCGATGACCCAAATCAATTATCAGCGCTTACTTAACCGGTTCTTAACCGAACATGATAACAAGTGACAAATGTGTCCCTACCCCACCCCTTTGCTTTAATTATTTGACCCCAGCACAACACTTTCCCGCTATTTTCTTGCATAAATTTGGTTGTACTGGCTTGATAAGGAGCTCGCCGAAAGCATATGTTCGCCTATAACCTATGTTCTCTTCTGGATATCTTGAGTGCCAACGTAACTATGTTTGGCATGCAATTCGCATCTTCAAAGTGTAAAATGCTGCTAAAAGATTGGGTTGCTTCAGCACCAAGCCTCACTCCTACTGGGGAAATAATCAGTCGGTTCAGTTTTTACAACCATTAGCCACTCACTTTCGTGCGTCGGTTTTGGTTGCTGTCTTTTGGTGCCACATTTGGATAAAAGAGCAGAATGAAGATTGGAATGTTGAAAGCAAATTCAAGCGGAAGATGGAGAATTCGTATAGATTGTTGGGAAAATAATGGGTGGATGCACGAGCGCCACTGTTTGCGGCACCCAACCATATCACTGTGTCTGTAACCATCGGTGACCATCATCCCGAGGTCCCCAGCCAGGGAGTCTAACGGGGCCTATGTGTTCTAGTATCCTGATTAGGGTTTTCATACCCTCATGCCAGGTCTTCGTTTGACCACTATTCACCTTTTTCTAAGCGATACCTGCCCCGGCAAACATCGCCCGCCGTGGCAACCTATTTGATGACAGGCGTAAAACACACCAAACAACGTAATAACTTACTCCAATGGGCGACCGCGACTGTCTAAAACTACGTCTAACCTCAGCATAGCTCATCCATTTACCTCACCAGACTCGTGCTATGCGACGCAAACAGCGGTGTTGAAACATCGATAATCTATTTTAATCCTGTTCCCATAGTGGCCAAGTCTCTGCACCGTAGAGCAGGATTGGTCGAACTGCTGCAGCATACACTCGACCCTTAACAGACAGCCGGATGTCGCGACGGCGCCATAAATGTCCCAAGTTTACAAATGCCAACCGAGCCCTTTGTATCCGCGCCGACACTTCTCTGTGATGCGTCCGCCAGGTGAGATATAGCTGCCCAGATAGCAAAATTTGTCTACTTCCTGTACTACTTCCCCAGTTAGAGTGAAACTGGGTGCTGGATTATCTTGTAGTAACATTTTTCACTTGCAAAACGCATACCGAACATGGATACACTAGCACTCAAACTAGTCAGAAAAGCTTTCAGCTAACTTGGATCTTCAATTATTAGCACAATGTCATCTTCATACTCAGACAGTCTTCCACCTGCGAGTAAATCGATACCGCTATCCTCGCACGAGGATAGGGTTGTTTCAAGAATTATCACGAAGTTAAATAGAAACGGAGAGAGAGCAACCCTGTCAAACACCACTCCGTGGTGAACTCGGGTGAAAAAGTGCCGTAAGCTCGGNCCTACCTGGTGACATGCGTAAAACATGTCCCAGCCAACGTAATCTATGGAGCTCGACCACTTGCTCCAGTGGGCTACCGTATTTACCCAAAACTCTGCCCCTAACCCCGACCCTTCACAGACAGCCGGATGTCGCGACGGTGCCGCAGAAGTCTCAAGTTGGCAAATGCCAACCGAGCCTTCTGTATGCGAGCTGACACTTCATCCGTGATGCGTCCACTGGATGAGATGTAGCTGCCCAAGTAACAAAATTTATCCATCTGCTCTGTTACTTCCCCAGTGAGAGTGAGGCTGGGTGCTGGACCAACTCAGTCTTGTAGTAGCATTTTACACTTTGAAGGCGCAAAACGAATACCAAACATGGACCCGCTGGCACTCAAACTTTCCAGAAAAGCTTGTAACTTACCTGGATCTTCACTTATTAGCACAATGTCGTCTGCATTATCTAGAGCAGACAGCCTGCCACCTGGGAATAAATCGATGCCACTCTCCTCGCACGAGGATAGGCCTGTTTGAAGAATTAAATCTATCACGAAGTTAAATAGAAACGGAGAGAGAGCAACCCTGTCGAACACCACTCCGTGGTGAACTCGGGTGAAAAAGTGCCGTAAGCTCGGACTCGGCTTCGGCTATTAGTGTAAAGCGATCATAATATTTAGGTTAACTTCTCGGGCACACCTTTTAGAGAAAGGCAGAGTGGTTGACTGGGTCGAAGGCCGCTTTCAGATCCAGGAAGATAGAGATGGGAAAGTCGGTGCTCCAGAGTTTGGCAAGACCACGACCGAGTCTAAAACTAGCCTGGTTCTCACGCGTGCGGCAGACAATCGAAGGAGTATGACCTCATCGTGAAGTTTAGAAGCAATATTGGTTAAACTAATTCCTCTGTGGTTTTCACAGAAGGATCTGTCACCTTTCTTGTAAGTCGGTATGATGACCGATTCACACCATTCAGCTGGAACCTGTTCCCTCTCCTACACTGAGCCCAGGAGTTTCGTTAACTCCGAAACCAATGCTAAGCCTCCATCCTTAACAAGGGATGGGGAGAGCCCGTCTGGGCCGGAGGCTTTATGCCTTTTGAGATAGTTTATTTCCCAGGAAACCTCCATTTCAGATGGAGGATTGATGTCATTGATGATGTATTTCACAGTTGAAGCTGGTAGGGGGAAGTCTTGTGTCGACGGGGACCATTTGAACTGTGCCTTTGAATGTTCTGCCCAACGTTCAAGACGGCGTTCCTTAATTTGAATAAGTGTGTCGTCAGACTCCTTAATCACCTCACGTCTACTTTCCTTGGTCCAGTACCCCTAATAGAGCAAATGGCAGCGATCAGTGAGGTTCGCCTCACTGTATTCCGCTGTACGGTGATGATGATGATGATGAGCCAATGGAAAGTTTTGTTGTTCGGCTGACTATATCTCATCCGGTGGACGCATCAGAGATAAAGTGTAAGCTCGCATTTGCCAACTTTAGACAATTTTGACGCCACCGCGACATTCGGCTGTTTGTGGAGGGCTGAGTATATGCCGGAGCAGTTCGGCCAGTTCTCCAATACGGTGCAGAAACTTGACCATTAAAAAAACGAGATAGATAAATTGTCGGTGTTTAAACACTACTGTCTGTGCAGCGTTGCACGAATCTAAAGTAAAAGCTGGAAGAGCAATGCAGATGTTAGGTGCAGTCTTAGTAACCACACCACGTCACCCCTTGGAACGAGTGGTAGACATCCAGAGATAACGTTGTTTGGGGCGTATGTTACGCATGTCGCCAAACCAGTGCGACGAGACTGCACCTTGACGTGGTGTGGTGGTTTGCGTGTCTCCATGATCCTACGAGCTACACAGGATGACTTCCCACAGCCGCAGATCCAGTCATGCCTGAAAGGTCAATGGGTAGAGGCCGGACGAAGATCAGTCTCCTAAGTCCAGCTGATGGGGCACCTGGTTTTCTCTGTCTATCTACATGCCCCTGAAGAGATCACTCCGGCAGATAAACACTAAGAGAGACAATTAACCGGTCAAGAAATCTATCTTAGATGGATGTAGGAGCGAGGTACCTGCGGCTCCTTCTCGACGGTGGGAGAAGTCTTCACACTTCACTAGACAACTACCGCCCCCAGCCAATAAGGTACTGTCCCCTTTCACTTTCCGCCTGTCTCATTCGGTACTTGAGGCTAAGGGCCGATGCCTAAAAGTGAACTGTCCATCAAAACACCAGCGAACAACACTTAATCGAAATTCAACGGCCTTGCGTGATAGGTCTCTAGAAGCTCCCACACAAGTGCTTCTTTCACACATTGGATTTACGCCCCATTGCCTTGTGGATCGGACTTTTGAGTCAAGGGCTCTGGTTAGGTTCCAAAAACTCCTTTATCGGTGTGGGCTATCGCGAAGTATGTCATGCCCTAAAGTCTTAGGTACCCATTTCGAAAACCATTTTTCTAATCTGTCCACTTCCTCTTCTCACTCGCAAACCTTGAAAGATGCATCCTGTTTGCACCACCCATAGGATATTACTCAGCGTACAACTAAGGATGTCAACCGCTCCAAGGCTATCAGACTTTTGAAACCAAAATCTCCTTTTCACTTAGCCGCATTTGATACCGGTAACAGACAACTTGGTTGTCACTCGCCAAAGGTCTTTGCCAGATAACACTGTAACTAATTTTCCTGCAAATAAAGTGAAGATTATGAAGCTTTGTCAACCTCTCAGTCTGTGGGCTTTCAACGTGAAGACTCTTATGCAGGTGGGTCAACAGGCGTGTCTTGCGCGTACAATGCAGTCTCTAGAAATCGATGTCTGTTGCTTATCGGAGACACGAATTCAGTATACTAGTATTATAAGCCACCTGAGTGCGCGGGGTCTGTCCTCGAGTTATTTTCTTCGTACATCAGGAAACGACGAAGCCCGCTCACTGGGTCAGCGTGAAGTAGGGATCATACTAAACGATAAAGCTGGATCCTCTATGATAGATTGAATACTGGTCAATAGTCGTTTGTGCGTATTGAGGCTACAGGGTTCAGTTAATGTTTGGAAGGGTAGGAACACCAAAAGTTTTGTTCATCATTTCCGCGTATGCACCCACTAACGGC